AACGGACTTTTTTTCCGAGTAGGTAGATTAGTTCCTAAGTACTTGCTCAAACAAAATTTTTCACACAAACAATTTTCAAAATAACTTCGTCACACTCTTGAGGACCGATACAAGGGTTATCACGAAGTAAAACAAAACTTTTCAAAACAAGCACACGCAAGCAATTTAAAAATGAGCAAGTACCTAAGAGTCTATGGAAAACCACAGATAGAAAGGGTTCTAACACCTTCCCTTTCTATAATCTACCCCCCGTACTCATAAAATCTCGAAAAAAGTTTTTTCTGTTCTTTTTCCTTTTCCTTTGTTGGATGAAATAAAAGTCGGTGGCGACTCTTGCTTACCACGACATTTGCGAATACAAAATGCAAACCAGTATTAACAGTCGGTTTTGCCACCGTATCACAGATAACAACATATGAAAGAGGAAGAAAAGAACATTTAAGACCTTTGAGTAGTTAGGTTGCTCCTAGTTGCTCGCTTGTTCATAATAAAAACATTTCATACACCCACAATTTTCACTTTAAAACATTTTTCAAAAGACGAAACACTTTGTACGTGTTCTTATAGAGACGAGAACCATTACAAAGACATTCCTTTTCAAAATACTTTCAAAACCCACACCACAAGCATATTTTCAAACAAAAGCAAGTGATCTAGCAAGCAACTAAGAGCCCATAGATAATTACGGATGAAAAGGGTGCTAACACCTTCCCTTTTCATAACCTACCCCCTGAACTCAAGAAAATAATCTCAAAGGTCTGTCATGTTCTTTTCACCCTTTCCTTATTGGATAAAAGAAAAGTCGATGGCGACTCTTGTTATCCGCAACAATTGCGATCAAACGCAAAACACCCAAGTCAGTTCTCTCACCGTGTTACAACCACGACTTAGTCTAAAAACCTTAGACCACATGTCAGCAAGATATTGCAAGATGTATTAATGATAATACTAAAATTTAATGCACATGTTCCCTAGGTTAGTCATGAAAAAACCTCTCTCGCTTCTTTAAGTAGTGATCCAGATACAGAGATTTCAACCTAGTTTCTAAAAGATTTTCCATTTATACGCCACAAGAAGCCTTAAGGACAACTATTTTGAACCGATCAAAGACCCAAAAAGAGAAATTTCTAATCATCAGTCCAAGACCATTATGCTAGAACAATGAATGTATAGTCCAACAATACTACAATGTCTCACATGTGATCCGGACTATGGATCCATAGACATCATTTGATATTATATAACAATCTCTCACATTCTAAGCCGTGAATTATGGACACCTTAACCAACTTTCACATATAAGGTGCCTCACTAGAAGAAAAAGATATTGTTCAATGCATTATCGGTTTCATGTTACTCCTTATTATCTCATTGATTTGAACATTGAAGTGTTGATCTTTTAGGTTAGCATCCTCCCCATTGTGCTTGAAACTTGTTCCACCGGTCCAAAATCTCATCTCAATATTTTATCTATAATTTTTTATTTCAAAGCAAAACAATTTTACAAATCCAAAATAAATTCGAAGTACTTCAATCGTTGAATTTAAAAATACACTTAATGTGTTCAAGAAGAAAAAACCATATCTCATGTAACAAAAGATAAAATACAACTTAATTAGTGACAAATTCCTTTAAATTAGTTTCAGATTTCATTTAGTCCCTAATCCAATAAATGTTACATTTTATTCCCTTAAAAATTGTTTTGTTAGTCTAATTAGTCCTTTTTGTCAAATTTTATGAAAAAACGTTAACTTCTGCCTACATGGCATGATAACAAGACAATAGTTGAATTACTGAACCAACATATCTATTATAGAACTAGTAATATTTTTGTTTAAACTTGAGGGATTTTGTTTTCAAAGGTTAAAAACCCCTGCAAATTATTAATAACGTGTAAAAAATAATAATTTTCTCCCGTAAGAAACCCTAAAAAATGGTCATTTTACTATTGAAACTTTTATAAATCCTGCAGATGCGCTAGAGCAAAATATGTTCAATTCTATTCCATGATTTGTACTTCTGCCACTACTAGTTCATAAATCACAAATATGTTTGACATATCACAGCAACTACATGGATAAAATATTTAATAGAGTATTGCCAATGTTACAATAAATTCACGAGCAAACAAAACCTGCAATTATATGTTCAATCTCCAAACTTAGATAAATGTAGGAAAGAAATTTCAATGAAACTAAAGGGGGATACTTGTGAATCATGAAAAATATAAATTATTAATGAATGATTGCTCACACACTGACACAATGGCAATGCAAGAACAAAATAAAAAGGAAACAATTAATAAAACCAAACAATATTATCACTAGACAAGTGCCGTCAAATGTGGGTGAAAATGAGATATTAATGATTATGCTCAATTATAGATGGTTATAACATACTCATTGTCCCATATTATAAGAGAAATTCATTTTTTAGATTTATTGAATAATTAATATATCTGGTCTATATAGACTAGATACATTAATTATTGAATGAATCTAAAAATTGAATTTCTCTTATAATATGGAACAGAGGGAGTACTAATTACTTATTGAATCTATTATATAAAAAGAAAAACTATGTTCACACCTCAGCTGTAAATAAACTTATCTAGCCATTTCAGTGAAGAGTGTTAACACTTAAAACAAGGTGATTAGTGAATAATGTTAACACTTAAAACATGACTTTTTCTTTTAATTGTTGGTATAACGCACATAACATGTTTAATCTTAGTGGTAATCTAGAACCACTTGAATGTTCATTTGTTTAGTAAGCAAAACCAAGCATTAGAGATTTAGTTATTTGATATAGAAACAAAAGTAACATAAACTTTATAAATGTAAAAAAGCGACATAAACATAATAATTATAACTTAAAATTAACACACAAAATACTTGTGCCCTATTCTTGCCACACAAATCCCCTTCATACCTTCAACAAACTCATAAGGTGTAAGCTCCTATAACAAGACAAAACACGACGTACCCCATGTTAGATGAAAGCTAAAGCCCATAGATAAAAGTAAAATTTAAATTTAATTTCGATCTATATTGATTTTATCCTCACACCACTCCTAATTCATAATTTGAGAAAAACGAGGAATTAGAGTTTTAACATAACATGATTCTTTTCAACAATAGAGCATGCAACCAAAAATTTAAGAACATACAACACTCACTCTAGGAAGGGATGAAACTCACAACTGCCTAAGCAAATCCGATGTGGCGGTCAGTGGTGAATGTGGAAGAAAAGGAACTCGAATCCTGATCAATTTGGTTCCTCGAAGATCTTACACGTAAAAAGGCTCCAAAATGGTCCTTTTTCTTTGTTGGAAATCGTAAGGTCAAAGATGACGGTAGAGTGATCCAGGGGCAGTTTTATAGCCCAGCGAGCCCGACACGTGCCTGGGCTCAACCCATACTTTCTTTGTATTCCCCCCAACCTAATAGCCAATTTTTAGACAAAACCAGAGACAAAATTAATAAAAACAGGGTGTGAAAACTAAAATAGTTGAATAACCAATGATCCAATTCCAACCCAAGTCACATGTAACTTGCGGTTAAATTTTTTGCCCAGACCGCCTAAAATTTTTGGCTCCTCCACTAGAGTGGTCAACAATGATGTTCTTCGAAATAAAAATCCAACCGATTCATTAGGAAGGCCCTGTGATGAGGAATGTGAATATTAATTGCTTTGGTTCTTCATTGGAAGTGGTGGTGGTCGAAGATAAGATGAAGAAAAGAACGACGACAATACTATAGTTTGAAGAGAAGAAGAGAAAACACATTTATGAGAATTTCTTTTTGATACAAATGAGATTTAATATCTGAGATTTTTTTAATGAGTTTTTTTATTGTATTTAAAATAAAAAAAGCTAAGTCATATAAGATAATTCCAATTAGATTGTCACATATATATATATAAAATATAATGTTTTTTTTACAAAATTTAACGAAATAAATCATTTTGATTAATAAAATAATTTTTGAATGACTAAAAATAAATTTATTAATTATAGGAATTAAAGTAAAACTTTAAGTTAAATTAAAAAAAGCAAAAAGATATATTAAACTATAAAATAAAAAAGAAATTAATAAATTTTAATATGCATCTAAAGATTTTTTTTCCAGAAAGCTTAGATATTAGAAATGAAGAGATACCTCTGATTTAAATTTTTTAAAAATGTTTTCTTAAATATTAATAAAATAGGACAACTATGTGAATTTTGATTGGTTGTCGATGAAAATTCTTTTTTATAAGGTCGCCTAATAAAAAATCAAAAATATATTTAATCATCCAAATCGTTTTAAAATATCAACATAATTTGGCGGATACACGAGTTAAAAATATTTTACATATTCTATTTTTTCTAAATTGTTTTACAATCATCTTTGAATTTAAAATTAAATTAAGAGTAATTACTTTTACAAAACAATAATTAAATAAAATAAAATAATAAAAAAATAAAAAGGAAAAAAACGAAGAAACAATTACCAATTTTTTTATTTAAATAACCTAATTTTTCAAATTTACTCCTAAAATAATTTATTTCAAAACAATTCTTAAAATACCTCACTTTTCACTTTTCGGTAGAAGCACTAAACGAATTAATATCAGTGTGTATATATTTTAATTGTCGTTAATTCAATTGAAGTCTCTATTAAAAGTTTATACACATGCGCCAATCCATCTTGATTTCTACTAAAAAGCGGAATATTTTGGAAATTAGTTTGAAACATAAGTTATTTTGAAAATAAATTTGAAAAAATAGGTTATTTAGAAAAAAATTCAAGTGCCTCTTTCTTCTCGAGTAAGGGAAGAAAGAAAATTCCGAAGTTAATTTACCAAACAAACCCTTCCACAATTCCTAAACCCCAAAACAGCTTCACACCTATGGCTATGGCGTAGTTGAATTCCACTTCCCAATTCCAATTTCCACACCGTTTCACAGAACCAATCCACTCTCATAAACCATTTCAGAACCAAACAATTTCAATTCAATGGCGACGAGAAATCGAACTTCAGAGTTCAGAAAGTACAGAGACACCGTCAAAAGCTTACGCACTCCTCTTTCTTCGTCAGCTTCCGCTTCTTCCGGTGGTCCTGTCATCGAAATGGTTAGCACTTCGCTTCTTCGTTCCAGTAATGGATCTTCCTATACTCCTCTCAGTACCCAAGACCCAGGTCCCTCCTCTAGGTTTTTCTCTTCTCTTCTCATTTATACTCTTCTTTTTCAATTCCATGCATTATAGCGATTGCAGCGATGTAAATTATAATAGTATTAAAGTTTGACACAATAGTTAAGTTTCATCAAACACTAACCTAACGCTTGACGAATGTGTATTTGAAAGGCATTGCAATTAATCATCAAGTATTGTGTAATATTGTGTTTTGGTGTGTTAGTGATGCGTTTACTGTGGGTATGCCGCCGTCTTGGGTGGATGATTCTGAAGAAATAGCGACGAATATACAGAGTGCAAAGGTTAAAATGTCTGAGTTAACGAAAGCTCATGCAAAGGCTTTGATGCCTTCCTTTGGTGATGGTAAAGATGATCAGCGTCAGATTGAGACGCTAACTCGGGAAATTACAGCTCTCATTAGAAAATCTGAATTGAGGCTAAAAAAACTCTCTGCTGGTAGAGGATCTTCTGAGGAATCTAATGTCAGAAAAAATGTGCAGGTAATTTTAGAAAAATCGTATGCAGTGCACACTACTCTGCTTGCTCTTCGACACGAATGAGGAGATTGTCCTAAAGATATATAATTATGTAGCACCGACCTCTGAAAAAAAGCGTCTCCGTGTCTGACACCTGCACCGACACTTGTGATTACGTTTAATTTATTCATTTTTTCAAATTATTACCGGTGTCACTGTGTCGGGGACATGTTCGGAGTGTCCGTGCTTCATAGATATAAAAGCTATTGTTGAAAGGTTATCTTTAATTCAACTATAAATAACTGGGGTTATTGGTGAAACTATATAGTTTTAGTCTCCCCCATCCTTCAAAACCCAAATATTGCCTTTTCTCGTTCTTCCTTGTTTTTCATTTATTTTTCTATATTAATTTATATTATCCTATCTTCATTTGGCTTTTCATTTCTTTTAATTTCACTTTACTGATTTTCTGTTGTTCCTTTTATCAGCGTTCGCTTGCTACAGACCTTCAGAGCCTGTCAATGGACCTCCGGCGGAAGCAGTCAGCATATTTAAAACGTTTGCAGAAACAACAAGAGGTTGCGAATTTTTATGTGTACCCAAATTTTCAATTCCAAGTTCTTTCATATCATCCTCCCACATTTTTACCGTTCCTTATTCTCTATTTGTTTACCAATTTATGTTTATTAATTTGTTTCTCTTTTTTAATCTATTTTTCTTTTAGTATTTAATGATTGAACTTATTATCACTTGCCCCATTCCCAACCCCTGAGTCCTCTGTGCCTCGAACTGCACCTGTTTTTATTTTATATCATGTCACTGACTTCTATATTTGGTTGTAAATCACACAGGGTTATGATGGGATTGATCTGGAGATTAACTTTAATGGGAGTAAATCTGGATTGCAGGGTGATGGATTCGATGATGTGGTATGTTTATTGTAAAATGTAATTGTTCTCTCAGCTGGACACTATTATTTAGAGAAACCTCAATCTGCAACTAATGCACTAAACAAGTAACTTTTGATGATTTTTCTTCCCAACCAAAGCAAAGTTGTAATGGTGAAGCTGCAAGATTTTAGTTCAAACTTGGCAGTTACTTGTTTTGACCCCTTACATTCCATTAATTGCAAAAGTTAGGGGTGGGGGTGCTGGGGAACGGTATAGGACTATAGAAAAATATTAATTTCTAAATAATGTTTGTATAGTAGATTTTTATACTTGACTTTGGGACTAAATTATGTTATGCCGGATTTTAAAATCACAGTTCTGAAATATAACGATGTTATATAAGGTTGTCAAGATCTCAATCTAGATCTTAAAATCTTAAGATTTTACTATCTCACTCATCCCCAATGATCCCGATCTTAAGTAAAATGTAGCCAAATTGTGAATTTTTTTCCCGTAAAATCATTGATTGTGAGTTCTTTGCCAGTTTTGGCCATGATCGGCCGTTTCCTGACCACCACCATTAAAAGGTGAAAAGGATGACAAGATGTAGAGGCACAAAGTTACGGATTGATAGGGATGAATGCATGCCTTTTGAAATGATGAAATTTTAGATTTATGGTTTAGAGAATAAACATTTCACGTGTAGGGTTTGTTTTAACTGATTGACTTATGATAATCCTAGTAATTGACCAAATAAGTCCTTAATGTCTAACAAATGTTCCATGTGGTAGTAATAAAGTATAAAAACTCGATCATACATGTCTAAAATATATGAAAGAGTCACTTTCTCACGAATACACTTGACTACTAACATATATGATGTAAAAATACTTTAAATATATACCATTAATTTTTTCATTTTAGTAAGATCTTAAGATTTTTGTTACGATCTTGTTACCTCCTCTTGATCTTACAGAAATAGTTGGGTAGGATCTTCTGATCTTAGCGTTTATATTTTACGATCTAGCTATTCTCTCCCGATCTTATGCAAGATCTCGATTTTGGCAACCTTTATATCATTATATTATAGGGCATAATCATATAACAATAGTTTTAATAATGGCTAAATAACAAATAAGGTGCATATTTTGGTGGCATGATTTTTTTTGCATTTTTCTAGCTTTGCCATGGTTTTTTTAGATCATGAATGCAATGACATTTCTTTATTTTCCTCTCTTTCTCCTCTCTCGTCATTTCCTCTGGTTAGGAGGATTAGATAGCCTCAAGAGTCAAGAACCTTCTATTCCTGAGTTTTTCTTGCTTTACTGTGGGTTTTAGACACTTGACATGCATACTCAAAATGTTTTCCGCATTTATTTTTTGATTTCATGTGGAACAACTTTTTTCGTCTTACGGCCACCAGTCCACCGTATGCTTATTCTCAACTTACAATTTGACCCCCATATGCTGGTGGTTAGTGACAGTGGCGTTTTCAGAAACAATGAACATGACTTTTAGCATTTTTAAGAATACTGGTTTTGTATTCTGAAATTCACAATGAGACAGCTAGGCCAACATATATTTTTTACAGTAATTTATTTTAGAAATGAGACTAGGAAATGGAAAAGGTAAACATGGCCTTATTGTTTTCCTCTATTTTTATCTATACACAGTTGCCGATTCATGGATGACGTTCTCTTCAAGTTTGTGCTTGAACCCTTGGCTACGAGCTTGTGACCCATACCTTGGCTACGAGCTTGCGACCCATATCTTTTTTGGCTTAAACCTGCAATCTCTCCTCTCTTTCTTTTCTTTTTGGGTTGAACGCCCATCTTTCTTAACTATTCTGAGGTTTTTAAACTATGTCATTAATCTCGGAAAGTGACGTGAAACGCCAAACTGCAAAACTGCTAAATCGGTATAGTGGATAGCAGGATAACTGCCATTGCAAAGACTAAAAACAGTATACAAACTAAACATACATAAATACTACAAAATAGCAAAATACACAATAAAAGGGGTACGCCTAACCTAAACTATAACACAATTGTGCAATTTGGCTCCGATTCGCGGCAGCGACTGCCACACCTGTTGAGCACTGATTGATGACCAAACGCGTCGCTCTGGACGCCGACTCTGCTCCACGGACCTGCACTAAGGCAACATGATTGGCAACACGGTTTTTTTAATCTTAAAAGCTGGCCTTGTTCTGGGTTTCACTTATCTGTTTTCTACTGAATCTTTGGTTTTTTCTGGTATACTCTCCTCTTGCATTTTGTTTTCGTAATTGCTATTCAATCAATAAAAAATATTAATATTACAATCGCTATACATTAAATATTTTAATTTTGCTTGAGTTTTATTAGTGATATTACTGCTGCTATTGGTTAATTATATTATCATAATTTTAATTAAAATACAATTCTAAATTTTTAGAAGGATTTTACATTCTATGATTCTGAGTTTTAATTTTTCATCCCCTCCCAGTTGTTGGTTAGATCTAATAACAACCTTGGGATCAGGCCAAAATTGATGTTAATACTTTGATTCACGAACAAGAAAGCAGTCGATAGATAAAGGGAAATAGTTGAAAGGATTTATTCAAAAGATTAGACAGTTTGTGTGAAAGGAGAAACCCTTGGAGGATAATTATTTCTCCTTTGCTGTTCAGATTTTCATTCCTTAGGAACAGATTATTAATTGTTATTCTATTCTTCAGTTCTGATTTGTGTGATTCATTAGTTTACCATACTGTTTTTAGTGTAAATCATATTCTATTCTTCTTCGTTAAAATGCCTTCTCCTTCAGTAACAAATTTTCATTCTCCAGTAACAGTAACAGATTAGTCATATTATTATTCTATCTATTCTAATTTCTACTGTGTTAAAATGCATTTTTTCGTTTTTCTCATTCTCTGGTTAGTTTAGCGTACTGTTTTCGGTGGTATCATATTCTATCATCAATAAAAGTCAATTGTTGCTATTAATCCAATTATGTACTATCTGTTTCTATTACGCATCATGTAGACTCTTTCAAGAAGGGATTAGTGTGATTCATTAGTGCTTTTTTTTATAATGAAATATATATTTTTCATTGTTTCATATCCTGATGAAGCTGTATCCAAAGAAAGAGATGACAATATTTGATTGGTTTCAGGGTTTTAGTGAAGCGCAAATGACAAAGCTAAAGAAACATGAGCACATCTCAGCGGAAAGAGAAAGAGAAATCGATCAGGTAATTTGAAGGAACTGTTTTATTGCTAGCAGACAAATCACCTGGCGCTTCTTGTCTGACTATGTGGAATTTACTGTAGGTCGCTAGTTCAGTCCACGAACTTGCTCAGATCATGAAGGATCTCTCTGTCCTTGTGATAGACCAGGTTACTGCTGCACTCTTATATTTTTTTTTTGGAGAAGGGACAATTATCATTAATTAAAGTGACAATAGTGATAATTTTACAACTGTTGTCTTCAATGGTTTCATCTCCGTCCCCTTATTGTAAAACAAGATGGATTTTTTATTTTAGAGTGAAAGGTAACTCAAGAAGCTAATATTTACGCAGGGAACAATTGTAGATAGAATCGACTACAACATTCAGAGTGTCGCTACAACTGTTGAGGAGGGCTTTAAGCAGTTACAAAAGGTTCTGTTTTCTCTTTACCTTCTGAAACTATTGCTAATATATAAGATTTTGCCTATTCTTTGTGAGTTGGTGCATTTATGAACCTTTGTTTTGGAAATTTTTTAGCTGTTTTTAAGCATGGTATCATCTCTTAATCCATTTTACTTACAGGCGGAAAGAACACAGAAAAAAGGAGGGATGATTACATGTGCCACTGTGCTTGTTATCATGTGCTTTGTCATGCTAGTTCTGTTGATAATCAAGGAGATAATCTTCTAGCCACATTAATTACCTGCATTACATACCATCTTACATGAGAGCTAACTCATTTTCCTTGCGTCGATGTGAATCAAATCAGCTTCTGGTTGAATACAGATAGGTTCAGCGCTTCAAGTACTAGAATCCCTTTTTTAGGGTCCCTTACAAAAATCATCCATTATTGAATTTCAATGGCAACAGGGGATGATGGCAATGTACTTGCAAAAATATAATGTACCCCACAAAATAGTTTATTGCATTTTAGATGTTTGAGATTTTATAGACAAAGTTGTACATGATTTAGTTTTATCATATCAAGTAAATAGCGATTTTTCAAACTGCTACATCGAAGAGACATCATGTTTTTTGACCACTACACTAAACTACAATTTTCATATTTTACAAGATAAATTTCTAGTATTTAATAGTACACCGGCACAAAAATATTAGTCTAACGGTCGTTTTATGAAACAAAACTTGTTTCAAAATCATTTGTGATTACTATCATTTTTTCAAGAGGGAGTACTAATTAATTTTCAAATTTAGAGGTAATTTGCAGTTATTGATAAGAATTTGTCAGGTTTGCTGTTTTTAATGTATTCACGGGGAATATCTGCCTTTTGTCCTACTTGGTCCCACATGTTGCATATCAAGTTCACAAGTTGTCCTGACCAACTGTAAGAAATATTAATATCGAAATTCAGAAAATCTTCATTGAGGAAATTCAAAATTTCGGTGATCTAGAAACTAGTAATATAATAAATGACACCGACAGGATTGGTGAGTTAGCTCAAATAACCTTTCTATATTCAGCTAGCTTTATTTGAACTTCTAGCACTGTTGCTAAAGCTTTTTGATAAATTTATTAATTAATAATTAAATCATCTCTATATCTTACTGTAGAACAAATATATGCAGCATTTTTTTAAATCTTCACTAAATATATAGGGATATTTTTTTAAATCATCACTAATTTTTGTAAAACCATTTTAATTTCCGTTGTAGCACGTAAAATCACAACTTGTTCACATGACAAGATCACATACAAGAAACAGACACATACATTGCAAGTCATGTCATTGGGCCGTTTGATTTGAAAAATCTAAACTCCTTTGTCCTTCTCCTTGTTTGGTCCCACTTGTTGCTAAGTTGCAACGGTGCCAATTGAATCTATTAAAATAAAATCTATCTAATTCATTTATTAAAAAATTTATTAAATCTATCGAAAAATTGTATTTTTTTTTTAATAATCGAGTTTTTTTTCTAAAAAAACGAGTTTTTTTTTTTTGGAAAATCGAGTTTTATCTAAAAAATGAGTTTTTTTTAGAAACTCAAGTTTTTTCGGAAAATCGAAAATTCGAGTTTTTCCAAAAATACGAAAAAACCGAGTTTTTTTTCTCCGAAAAATTGAAATATCAAGTTTTTTCTTAAAATCGAAAATATTGAGTTTTTTTTCCGGAAAATCTTTTTTTTTGGAAAATCGAGTTTTTCAAAAAGTAAAAAAATATTGTTTTTTCGGAAATACGAAAAATCGATTTTTTTTCCGGAAAAATTGAAATATCGAGTTTTTTTAGAAAAAAAAAACGAGTTTTTTCGGAAAATTGAAAAGACAAGTTTTTTCGGAATTGAAAAATTGAGTTTTTCGAAAAATAAAAAAATTGAGTTTTTTTGAAAAACCGAATCCTTTTAGAAAATTGAAAAATCGAGTTTTTTTTAGAAAATCAAAAGATTGAGTATTTTCAAAAATACAAAAAAAAAAACGAATTTAATCATAAATGTCGATAATGGATGAATTTTATTCTTAATGGATGAATTAGATTTGATATTTTTAAGGAAGTTTTAGCAGATTGTTGATGAATTAATAGATTGTTTTAATCCATCCATTAACAATTCAATCTGTATTTATCAAATTCATCCATTTTGTCACTCCTAGTAAGTTGTCCCAACCTTACATAAAAACATAAAATTTTAGAAAAAAATCTTTATTCGTTGTTAAATATTTTAAAATTTTTATGAAGTTAAAAAATTTTAATTTTTTATTTATTTTAAAATTTTGTTTTGTTAAAGAATAGTGTTATGGATCGGGTTGACACTTAGTCCATAAGTGGACAGGTCTTGCCTATGATCCAATAGCTTCAGACACAAGTCACATAGCTGTTGAGAATTTCTCCCACGTGTCCTTAAGGAACGTGGTCAACAGTCACATCCACGCCACTTGCCTTCCGAGAATAATAGGTCCACTCCCCCTATATTTTCGGGCGCTTTACTAGGGAGGAGGCTACGTGTTGGACCTCATTACCCACGTAACCCTGGAAGACCTTGTTATTGGGCCCAAATCACTTGGCCCAATACATGGATCTTGACCTAGCGCTGAGGGCTATAAATACCCTCTCACATGAGAGGGTCAGATATTCATTCATTCTATCTCACTTCTGTTACTTGCACTCTGATTGTCTAGTGTAACGCCCGTAATTTAATTAATTATTTAATTAAATTATTTTTGGAATATTTGTGAAGAAGTGTTATTAAATTAGATTTATTTTATTAAATGGAGAAATAATAATATATTAGAGATATTATATTATTATGTGGTGAAATAATGTTAGAAGTTATATTATTAATGTGGGCCTATATGGTGTGAGTGGAAGTAATAAGGGGGTGTAAGTTTGGAGCCCACTAAGGAATAATATAATAATATTAGATTATTTTATTATGTGTTGTTAGAATAGAAGAAGGAAGCAGTAGAAGGAAAAATAAGGATTTGAGAAGAACGTGAAGCTGTTGGAAAATAGAAGGAGACGGCAAGAACGAAGATTCAACCCGGAAATTGTAGAGTGACCTTCGATCTAAGGTAAGGGTGGGGTTCTGGATTTATAATTGGGTTCATGATATTTGATATGTGGGTTAGAGGATTGCTGTTTTTGTTCTTGAATTGGATGATGTATGATGAAGATTTGATGCATTTGAATGAATAATGATGCTATGATGCTGTGGAATCGATGTAGTATTATAGGTTAATGTTAGGTGATGATTTATCATGATCATAATAAGGTTTTTAGGGCTGTAGTATGATTCCCGTAGTGAATTACAGTAGAAAATGCAGAAAATTATGCAGACTGTCGAAGGATGTGTCGACCCCAAGCTGGATGTGTCGATACATGAAGACTGTTCGACTCAGGATGAGTCGATTCATGGAGGGCTTGCGTCGATGCATGTTAAGTGTAAGACTCAGTATGAGTCGACACGAAGAGAGGGTGTGTCGACACATGTGTGTGTGAGACTCAGGATGAGTCGACCGGTGCGATGCATGTGTCGATACATGCTGTGTTTTGAAGTCAGGATGAATCGATCGGTAAGTGCATGTGTCGATACATGCTGTGATTTGAAGCAGGATGAGTCGATCCATAAGGAGGATGCGTCGACTCATAGTATACAAATGAAGCAGGATGAGTCAAACCATAGTGTTTTGTGTCGATACATAATGTCTGGTTTTCGACAGAATTGACTTTTAATTGCAGTAACTTGAGTTGTAGGATGCTGTTTGAGATGCCGCTCGAAGCGTTGATTAGCTAACACGATGAACTTTATTCTAGATGATTTAAATGATGATGAAGAGGTGTAATCCTAGTAACCAATCTAAGATTTAGAATTAATTCCCGTGATTGACAATTATGCTGGATTTTTGACAGAATGATGAACATGAGATGTGTAGAGGCTGCTGTTAGAAATATGACAGTAGGATTAGTGACAATAATGATGTACAGTAGCAGAATAATGGTAGGGATTACTGTAGTATTGATATGCAACTGAGTTAATAGTGAGATGTGGTCATTAAAGTTGTGTTTGATAATTATGATGAACCAATGACGTTTGATAAATAAGTGATGTTTAATAAATTATTTTGAGATGTTTATGAGGTGCTGTAATTGAGATGTTTTGAGATGTTTATGAGATGTTGTTATTTTGAGATGATTGAGATGTTGTTGTTCTGAGATGTTTATGAGATGTTGTTGTTCTGGGATGTTTATGAGATGTTGTGTTTTGAGATGATTGAGATGTTGATATTACATTCATGAAGAGTCGCATACATTGCATTTTTGAGATGGAGCTTATGCTCGTTGAGATGGTCTGGATTGGCAAATTTTGAGATGAAGGCTATGCCTTATTGAGGCCTCTATTAATTGGCATATTAGATTTTTGAGATGGGAGTTCTGCTCCAATGGTACCACATGCATTTGCATAGTTTTGAGTCGCATCATATGAATGAATAATGAAGTGTATTTGATGTTGATGAATGAATATATATGTTGTAATTGTTGTTGATTATGAGATGAGAAGTGGTGATATTATTGATCTAATTTAATATATTAATTATCATGCGCTTTATTATATTGTTAGATATCTCACCTCTTCTGTTTGAATGTTTCCCCTATATTGGTAACATGCAGGTAATCGAGAGTGAAGGCCGTATACCTTCAATAGATCGAGTTGGTGTCATTGCTCTGATATGTAACACTCGGGGGGATGAACGCTTGCTAATTTTTGATTGCTGATTTTCAGTTGTTGAACTTTAAATTGTTTATTTACTAAATATGAGATGTTTCGAAGTTGTTGTTTTATTTAAAGATGTTATTGAAGAATTTCGTTGTGTAGTTGTTGAATTATTTAATGAAAGATGTTATGTTGATGGTTCATCCGATGTTTTGAAAAAGTGTTATATATCCATGATGAATGCAATGAATTTGTTAGAAGAATTTGTGACGTCCCGATTCGTCTGTATGAATGAAATTTTATAACTCTGATTTATTTTGCATAATTTGCTTGGGGTAGAATTGGGGTGTTACATCTAGACTCTTACTTTGGCATCAGAGTATCTTGCAGATACCCCCTACTTCACATTCAATCGATGCTCAACTTGAAGTTCGTGGGCATTGGCGATCCCTTCTGATCAGGTACGATCAGTGGCGCTGTATGTGAGAAACCAACTTCCCCGTCTTTCACTCAAGACTAAAGCAAGAGGA